GGAGGGAGCAAGAGATGGACAGACAGGCTTGTCCTCCAGTGGACGGCCTCAAGCTGAGATACATCCCCCCAGAAGGAGTAAGGCTGGCACGAATATTCCCCCAATCACTGCCATTATTGAAGAGGATAATGGATGGGGAGTGCCTATAAAAGAAAGAGGGACTTGAGAAGTGGAGGATATCTTGTAATAGAGAGAGAAAATACTTGAGTAAATAATAAAAGATATTCCGGCGATCCTTAAGCATATTCCGTTCCTAAGAGGACCGAATAAAGGAGAGGACCGCCGATTTGAGTTATTATCCAGTGAGCAGTGCTTCTATTACTATTAATTATTATTCTCGTATTATCTTTCAATATTATAAGGCCCGGATACCTATATTTGAACCTGGGCCGATCTACAGTCCTTGGGAAAATATTGGGTATCCATCAGATATGCACCCAAAGTGTACCATAAAAGCACTCTATATTTTATACCTATTGTTATGCTCCCCCGTCCCACAATAATCTTCACTTTACACGTTACGATGTTTGACTGAAATTATTTTCAAATTATTTTATACGAAAAATATTATAGAATTATAAAATAAAAATTATATGAATAGATATACGAAACTAGATGTGACATGACTATATTATTTTATCAGATAACCACAAAAAAAATAAATAAAATGAATAAAATTTGACCTTGTAGATAATGATTTTGAAAATTATTTTAAGACGGAGGAAATAATTATTACGACTCAATTTTTAATATTGATGGAGTCGAAGGACAATGCTGAAGGGATGGGAGGGTGGACAAGATGAATTTTGAACATTGAAGGGGGGAAGTTTAAAATGCCGAAAATGAACATCCCCAAGGGTTTGAAGTCAATGTGCGTAGAAGCACAAAGAAAAGAAAGCACATCGGCAGAGGCCCAAACGGGAATGAGAAGTAGCAGCATCGGCCAGTGAGAGGAGATCACACGGATCGGTGACGTGGCAATGAAGTTTTTGAAATTCCGCCCAAATCCTCCCCCGGACTTGAAATTCCCAATTCTGAGCCTGAAGAATAAAAATAATTTCCCTTCCAGTCCTCTCCTCCCGCCCCCCTTCTTATCTCTCTCGAAAGCCCCCCCCCCCACATCTCTCCCACAATACCCACACACACAAGCCGAACGCATCTCCCTCTCTCTCTCTCCTTCTCTCGCTCGCCTCAACCCTAGATACAGGTAAACTCGCCGCCATGCGGCGCTGACTCGCCCGAGTCCTACCGATTTCCGCCGATTCTCACCGGTTTTCGTCGTTTCCTCGCAGGTCTCACCATGAAGGGGGGCAAATCCAAGGCAAAAGCCGACAACAAGTGAGTTTCTGCTCTCTTCTCTGTTTCAATTTGCTTTTTCTCCTCCCCTGCCGTTTGGATCTGTGATTTTTATCGCGTGTTCTGTCTGCTTCTGAGGATCCGGTAATTAATTTGCTGTATTTGCTTTTGATTTTATGAATTTAGGCTCGCCGTGAAGAAGAATGCCCCCGCGGTGAAGAAATCTGCGAAAGCTACTAAAGCTGCTAAGGATCCGAACAAGCCGAAGAGGCCTTCCAGTGCTTTTTTCGTCTTCATGTACGATCCGTCCTGCTCTATGAAGTTTGAGAGTATTATGATTGATATTATGCTTTTTTTTTTCCTCTTAATTATTGTCTTCTTGTACAATTCGTCCTGCTCTCGGAAATCAGAGAGTATTATGATTGATTTTTTGCTCAGAATTATCGTCTTCATGTACAATTCGTCCTGCTCTTGGAAATTAGAGAGTATTATGATTGATATTATGCCTTTTTCTCGTAATTTTACAATTCGTTTGTGGAATTACAGGGAGGACTTCCGCAAATCCTACAAGAGTAAGAATCCGAACAACAAGGCCGTTTCAGAAGTAAGATTTCCAGATCCGTTTTTTCAGTTGATTGAATATGAAAAACGCAAACTTGACTATGTAAATATCAATTGATTCAATTCTATTTCAAATTCCAGGTTGGTAAAGCCGGAGGTGCAAAATGGAAACAACTTTCAGACGCCGTATGTTTTCTCTTTTGATTGCTTTCTGATCTTTATTAACAACTTTTACTCCAATACGTAATGAATATCATAAATCTCTCTCAGGAAAAAGCTCCTTATGTGGCGGAGGCTGAGAAAAGGAAGAAGAAATATGAGAAGGACATAAAAGAGTATGATAGAAGACAGGTAGTTTGGTAGTTCTTAAAACTGTAATCTTTATGCATATTCTGATCCAGTGTTTACAAATTACTGAATAATTACTCATGAAACCCTAGGCTGAGGGTCCTGCAGAGGAGGACGAGGAATCTGACAAGTCAAAGTCAGAGGTGAACGACGAAGACGGAGATGATGATGATGATGAGAGTGGCGAGGTTTGTAATTTTGATCTGCTTTGTTTTAAAGGAAATTTAATATTGAAATCGCATTATTATTTATTGATTAATTGCCTGTTCTTTGCCAGGATGAGGACTCTGATTAAAAGTACCCAGAAGATTTGGTGATTGGCATCTTTGTGGTCCATGATGATGATGATGTGTTCTAAAGTATTTAGTGCTTCTTAGTTAAACTTTTCCTGATTTTGTTTCTGGGAGGAAGGAGGGTTAGGTGGGGGGAAGGGGAGGAAGGGAAGGGAAAGGGTTTACTCTTTCTAGTGAAGTGAGCTCTTGGGTAAATCCATTGCTCCAATGTACCTTATTATGATATTGATGCTGATTACGTTTTTAATCCATTTTTATGCATTTTAATGATAATACATGTGTTCGTGTATCACTTTGAATTAGCATTGGATCATTTGGTTTATCTTTGGTCAGTGAGGTTTAAAACAAGATGTTAACCTGTGCCTTATGCACATACCTTAGCTTAGTTTGGCTTTCTTTCCGCCTGCATGGGCAGTTCTATTCGTTCAAGGAAAGGATAGATCCCAGGGTTTGAATCTCGGCGGTGCGGTGTCAGTGTAGAAGTTCTATTTGTAATAGGTCTTTGTGTGCACCATGGGGTGTGGGGTGTCCGCGTATCCATTGTGTTCGGCCTTTTACTTGTCGAGGAGGTATCCAAAATATGAAATTTGGGTGGGGTGCACAAACATGAACATGTGCATCAATTGAGATAAGATCTAGCTATAATAAATTTGGAAGGTTTTTGGAGAGTTTCCAAAAATTGCTACATTCTCATTTTTCTTCTGCCTCCATAAGGCATTGTTTTTCTCTGCACAAATTTTGAGTTTTAACCACAAAGATTTATACGGTTGCACCCCAATAAGATTTCAAGTGTTTTGAAATTTGAACGTTGAAGAAGATTTTAAATGTCTTGAAAATTCAACTTTGAAGACCAGAATAGCTGTGTTTGGTTTTTGAGTTCGGAACATTGAAGGCCAATTTTCACTTTCAAAAAAAAGTTACTCGTATTTTATAGGCTATATACTTTAGGAAACTACGGAGTGACAAAACGAGATATCTAATTTAGGAATAAAACCGATCAGACTTGAGGTGCGGATCACTCCATCTTTTCCTTGTCAATTCATTTACTTTTCCTTTTTAGAGCTGTGAATCCGTTCCATCCCCATTCTTTTTCCATTTTATTTTCTTTTTTTAACAATGGTTTGATTAAAATCACCCAAAATTGAAAATAGATATTGTTCTAATATAAATATAGTTATTGGAATTAAAAAAAGTAGAATGTTTATGTAGTTCGAGAGATTTTAATTTATAAGGGTAGTTTTCCTAAAAGTTTAGAGAAGAGTTTAAAATAGTAAAATATTCTTGTAATAATATTTGTTTTGACTTTTGACTACTAGAAAGTTTAAAAAATAAATTATACATAAAAAAAATAAGAAGCGACATAATTATATTATTTTATAAGGAACAAACAATATAATTTGAGATGGAGTGCGATTGCAATTTGTTTATTTTATTGCTCTCGTTCATGACACGATTTCATGACTGGTTCAATTTTTATTTTATTCTTGGGCATATCAAAACGACACATAAACGAGCATGTTATACTCCGGTAAGATATTTTACGGAACTTATGCAATCGACCCTACATCCTTTATTTGTACCCATACTTAACTATTTCTATGATTATGATGCCCATTTACGTTTTCAACCCATTATTATGCATTTTAATGATGATTATACGCCGGTTTATGATCACTCTTAACATGCCGTGAAAATGTCATTTTAATTAAATACCACGATTGACGCATATTGCGTTTCTTAATTGTGAGAAAAAAAACTTTGATGTTTTTAAGTTTAAAATTAGCGACTACGGCTAGATTCTCATTTTGTCTGTCAATGGATGACCCCGACTTCAATTAAAGCATTTATGATGTTTCATTTGTAAAGTTTATGGTTTTTATCCCTAACATCCACTCTGGCCCAGCTTGTACCTATTCCACTAACCTCCTTTCAATTTCATCTCCCCAATATTGTTGATTTTTGAGTCAAATTTTTGATTGAAAAGTCAACAAAATTTAAAGTTAGGGATAAAACTGAATGGGTAGGTGGGAGTCTATCAGGGGGTTAGTTGGGTACGAATTATCAATTTTACAAACAAAGTAACATAGGTGTCCCAAAATTCCAGAGGCACCTTTCTTTTTGTTTTTTTTAAAGAAGAGAGCACATAGGCGTGTGAACAATTTAGTTAATTTATGTAGGTTTTATCCCATGTTTAAAATGAGCCCTATTTGTGACAACTAGACTTGATTTAGTTTTATTCTTGTAATTTGCTCTCTTTTTTTAAAATTTTGGTACCACAAATTATATTACAATTTTTTTAACCAATGAGGGGAACAATATTTTTAACTAATGTTAGTGTTTTGACTTTTGAATAATTTGTTAACAATATAAATTAAGTTCATAAATGTTAGTAAAACTAAATGTTTTCATTAATTTGTGTTAAAAATGTTACTATGTCATTAACAATTTTTTCAAAACATTCTAACTAAATACGGAGTATTAAAATACTCCGTAAATACTAAACGGGCCATATGATTAAAATATACGGAGTAAACAAAGGAGATTTGAGGTATATCTGGCAAATCAGTAAGATTTCAAATGTTTTGAAGATTGATTCTGAAAGACAATAATAACATGATTTACTCTCCGTACGATACTTGGTCAAGCTACACATATCAGAGAGTCAATTCTTTATAAATACCGAATAGTATTCCGTCCCATAGTATTTGTCTACTTTCATTTTTACACACCATCCAATACACTTTTTTAATCCATTTTATCTTGTAATTTGTATATTAAAAAATTATAGAAATTATATATTAATAATCTATATGTTAAGACAAATCAAACAAGTTCACACATGACTATATTTAGGCTTACACATTGAGAGAATTTGATGAGTCAAAATACTTAGAATGAACAGTTCCAAAAGTCAAAAGTGGACAAAAACTGGAAGACGGATATTAGTACGGTTTTGGCTTTCTTAATAATAGTACAAATTCCAATATATTTAACTTTGTTTTGAATCAATTACTCTCTCCCTCTCAATTTTTAACGCCTATTTTGACTTTTTAAAATTGCCCCTCACTTAATTTTTTTAAGTTGGGTAATAGTAAGAATAGGTGGCTAGGAGTAATTACATGGGAGGGTATTTTGGAAAGTCCAAATAAATAATTATACCAAATAAGGAAACATGCATATCATTTTGAGACAGATGAAAAAGGAAAACAAGCATTAAAATTTGAGACGAAAGGAGTATATAAATATCTAATGAATGGAAGAATGTTACTATGCACACTTTAAGATTTTTGAGACTGCCACTGATTAGATGAGTATTTTCATAGAGAAATTTACCTAAATAGTACTAAAACATAGTGATTTTTCCAAATAGTATCATATGTTTTTATTTTCGAATGTAGTACCAGTAATCATTGTCCACTAATCATTGTTCAAGTAAATGTCTACCGCCACTGGACATTGTTCAAACTAAAGTCCACCAAAACTAGACATTGCTCCCGCTATAAGATATTATTGAAGTACTATTTAGAGAATATAAAATTTTTTAAGTACTATTTTGGAAAATGACTAATATTTTAATACTTTGTACTCCTTCCGTCCCAAATTATAATGCATGTTCACTATTCACATGGTCAAACTTCATTCACTTTCTTTCTCTATTTTCGTTAGCAATTTGATAAAATAAAATATTATTATCACTACTAGTTTTGTAGATCTTTTGATGTAGTGTTTTAATATGTAATTTTTATTTTTTAACTATTTACCATTTGTCATATAAAATAATTTGAAAATAATTTCAGTCAAACATCGTAAACCGAAACAGACGTTATAAAATGGGACGGAGGGAATACTATTTAGTGCAAATTTCACTATTTTCATAATGTTATGACAAGAATTTAATTAATTTTTGGACTCTCAGTCCAATTTCAAAATCAACAAAGTATTACAAGTACATAAGTAGTACATTATATATTTATCGTAGATTTTGGAAACTTAGCTTAGTTTCAAAATTTAAGAATTAGATTCTAAAAATTCAAAAAGATGATTACTTGACAAAAGATCGAATGAACAGATTCTCCTTTCAACTACCCTTATATGGAGTAGAATTTACTCTGTAATTTTTTAAATTATCAACTAATCCGATCTCATTCTAATTGTGGTTTATTGAGAGGGCTAAAAGATGAAGAACACCTTTTTGTACGAGGACTTGATCCCGGCCGGCCTTCTCCACGCATGAACAAAAAGTATTTACTGGTACAATGCATTGATGTGAGGGGGTAATTTAGCAGCTTAAAAAACCCTTAATTGCATTCAAGACTAATTGTTTTTTTTTTAGAAAATTGCGTCTGAATACCCCTTATTTTGAGAAACTAATTGTCGGGTAACTCATATTTTTAAAATATACTCTGGGGTATCCTCTATTTTGAGGAATTGACTGTTGGATAACTCACATTTTTAATATATACTCCGGAGTACCTCCAAATGTATATCAACTTACCCGTGAAAGACCTTTCGTTTCATTCGTAACCTTCGGTTAAACTGGATGGATCGTATCATTAAAGTATAAGAACCAAAGTTATTTTTGGAATTTTAAATCCCTATTTCTTAAAATTAATGGCTTAACTGGCTTTAAATCTCGGAGTATATTTTAAAAATGTGAGGTATCCAACAGTTAGTTTCTCAAAATAAAGGGTACCTAGGAACATTCTTAGCATTTACGGAGTACATCATTTAACTTATCAGTGAAAAATTCTCATTTATCCATTTCCATATCCACCAAACTGAAGTTAAGAAAACAATTAGCTAATCCTCCTCATATATTGTTTGTACATGGCCTTTTATGCTAGTATGGGTGCATGCATGGAAATTCATTCCACACATGCATCCTCATGTAGGCGTCCATAACTCCATACCCATCAAGTGCTCATACACATTTCTCGCCTTTGTCTCCCAATGAATTCATACACTTTCTTTTTTTCGGTTGTCTTAAAAAAAAATTTACATATTTTTTTCTATTCCAACAAATTTAAAAAATATCCGACCAACGTTTATTTTTCTAATTAAAATTTAATCACTCACTTTTTTACTTTTCAACACCTTCTTAAAGTACATGAAATCATATTGTCTCAATTGATTGAGGACGAATAGAGTAAGAATTTGATTTTTTAAGCATCGTGGATTGATTCTTACCATTCTACACAATTATTACTATTGTATTACTCCGTATTAAAAAAAGACTAATACTTTTAGTTAATTTGTATTACAATAGTTAGAAGGACTACTCAGTGGCGGAG